GATTATTGCTGCCAATGCTGCTGTTCCATGAACCACACTTTGAGCTGCAAGCAGCAAATTACTTGAAAGGCAGTACTACACTGGCTAAGATCTTGGCCCAAAAACCAGTATCTCTGAGGTACATTGTGGGCATAGGGAAAAAAATTAAACCCCTTTTTCTATACACCCAACAATCAACACAGGAGCCAAGAAATGTCCCCACAAGCAACCAATCAAGCCTTTTCGCCACAGAGCTGGGCATCTGCTAATTCAATTCATTTCTGACATGATCTATCTAGACGTACCGTAAGATCCCATGGGTTGAGGGTTTAATCCCACCAGACCGCCGCCATTTCTGATGCCAATCCCAAGCTTCAGGTTTATTTATCTGTACTTCTGACCAACCAGCTATAAAGTGGGGTTCCCACAACCTTCATTTTGGGTTCGGTTTGCTATAGCACCTCACAGAAACGAAGGGAAACACATATACGTGTTACAAAAGATGTAATCACAAGGACCACAGATGAAAAAATGCATGAGACAAGGATTGTTGGAAGAGGCACAGACTTTCCCTCTCCTAGGGCTCTAAGCCTACAGGAACCGTCGCATGTTTAGCTATTCAGTAGTTCTCCAAACTCTTGTCTTTCGGGGTTTTTATGGACGTCTCATTACATAGGCATGATTAGCTAAATAATGGCCATTTTCGATCAGATTACCCCTCAGTCCCTCTCCCCTCCTCCAGTTTGGGGGTAGAGCTGAAAAATCCCAACCTTTAATCAAGTCTTGGTCTTTGCGACCACCAGAACCAACCTAGGGCCTGCCTGCAGAGGTCGATTCATTAGCACACAAAAACACATCACTCTGCAGATTCCAAGGATTTCAGAAGTTGTATGCCAGGAGACCAGATTAAACATATTCTACAATGTCACAGGTACCCATCTCACTGGATTGTTGTAAGGGCTGAACGTGTGAACGTCTGACACAAAACACTGAAGAAACAATGGCTGTTATCATCATGCTGAAAACTGCACGGTAAGGGATGATCTCTTTCCTCATTTCCCCCCCCCCCCCCCGCAGAAAACGTAAGCTCTGGAAAATGGAAACACGCATAGCCTTTTCAATACATGAGATGTAACTTTTAACATTTGTGGTACATAACGACATTACCTAACGAAAAACTGCCTAGGAATTAAACTCCTGAGCCTGCCATTATAAAGCCGAATTCGCTACCAAGGAACCCTCTAGTCTCTGACAACAATGAATGAACGCGAGCCTCCGAAAGTGCGAACCCCGAAAACCCCACGAGAACAGGCAGCAACTAGCTGTAACTTGTGAGTTAGGGCCTAGACGGCCCCTTCCGGTTCCGACCGTCTCTATCCATGCCCAGAGGGGGACGTAAACAGAACCCCTCAAGCTTCCACCTCGACTGTCACCAGGGCGAGGGCGCCCGAGCGGGTGCCGAGCGGTGCCGTTTGCGCGCCTGGGTCGGGCGGGCCAGGGTTCCCCCGGGCTCCCCTCGCCGCAGCCCGTCGGGGCTGCCAACTGGTTACCTCGCAATTGAACTCCATCTCGGCGTCCATGGTGACGATCCGCACCGTGAACGTCTTGGGCTGCTTCCTCTTGAGTGAGCTGAAGCTCATGCGGGAAGCGATGGCCCCGGCCATGGTGCGAGGCTCGGGTCCGGGGGCCCTTTAGCCCCGAGGCCTACGCTCGGGACCGGTTAGCCCCCCTGAAAGAGCCGCACAGGCCTCAGGACCACCATGGTGGCCGGCCGGCCGGCCCTAGAGCGATCTGGGGTGCGTGGGTCCCCAGCGGCCAGCATGGGCCGCGAGGACCCTGCCCCGGGGAAGGGGAGTTGGGGGGCAGGCCCTGACAGTGGCGCGGAGGGAAACGAACTGGGGCAGACGGGGCGGGCGCGGCCCCGCGCTCCGGGGCTCGGGCCGAGAACGCCCGGGACGTCCCGGAACGGGGACCCTAGACGGCGGCGACCCGGACCAGGGGCGCCTCTAAGCGGCCGGCGGGGGTCGCGCGGCTGCGCTGTAGCCGGGCGCGCACGCGCGCGCGAGGCTGTCACCGTCCTGGCTCCGCGCGCCCGCGGGAATTGTCCCCTCCCGGCTGCTCCGGGCCGCCTCCCCGCCCCGCCCGCGGGCCGCCGAGAACTCTACACACGGCGCAACCTAACAGATCTTTCCCGGGCACGGTGGTTGGCTGCCCACACTAAAAGAGGCGGGACTTACTCTGTTCGCCTTCTTTAGGGCTACTCCACCAATTGGAAATTCCACGCTGAAGCGAGGCGCGGGCCGGTGCTCAGCGTTGAGTGGCTACTGCATAGTCACTCTGAAAGCTTTTGTTCCTAAGAGTACGCCTACTCTAGCAAGACTGGTTGAGGCGGCGGAGTCCGGCGCGCCTTTCCTGGGAAACCACGTAGAACTTGTTCCCCGCGCGCCAGATCTGGGGGAAATTGCAGTTCCGAGAGAAAGTACCCCAGTGCGGTACCCCAGGAAATAGCGTGTCAGACACCCGGCAGATATCACTGTTTGGCACTTAATCAATTATTGTCGGACACCCGGTAGATAGTCCCATTTGGCACATAATTACACACATTCACTTCTGTTTCTCGAACTTGTGAAACACTTGTGGAGCCCTGATAGGTTGCCAGCACTTTCCCGCCCGATCCTTCTGCTTCTCTTAAGAATGCTATTACCGAAGAGGGCAGGAAGATAATGACTTTACCTAGTTAGTGAGGTCGGTGAGGAATTTAGGCGTGTTTAATGCATACAAAGTTTAGACCAGGCGAGGTGGCTCACGTCTGTGACCTCAACAGTAGGGAGACTGAGGTAGGAGGATCTCCAACAGTTCGAGGCCAGTCTGGGTAACTTAGTGAGTTCGAGGCCAGCCTGAACTAAATAGCGAGATCCTGTCTCAAAAAAATAAAAAATAAAAATAAAAAATTATCTATCTATCTATCTATATACATACACACACAAAGCATTTTTCATTTTGTATTTCTGTTTTCAAATCATATAGATATATTATTCATTTTTCAAAAATCTTCAAGGGTTATTGTGCATGTAGGGGGATTATACTTTTCTGTAGTTTAAAAAAAATCAACAAATTCTTTATTGATTTGTTATTGTTTTGAAATGCACTGTTGCTCCAGCTATTCTCGAACTCCTGGATGCCCTCAAGCCATCCATGGTGGAATGAAGACAATCCATGTGTTTTGACTGAACAATGAGCATTCCATAACTGTGAGGCTTCCTGCAGACACGAAACAGGATCAGCTCGATAAGGTCTCTTGCTGTCACTCAGATAGGGCAAGGCAAAGTAGGACTGGAATCTGGTCTCTTTCGTCAGAGCTTGTTTACCCTGTGTGCTTCAGTGGTTGAGCCTTCCACATTTTCCCTCTTGTAGCTTCAAGAAATGTAATTAAAATCCTGGAGAATTCCGCAGACCCTGTTGCTGTAACGATTCTAATAGCATAAATCTTACTCCTCTGCACAGACCCCTGTGGTGTCAGGAAGCACAAGCCAGGCCCCAGGAATCATTTACTGGTACAACCAGAGAGTCTGCTGTAAGGGAATTTCATGTCCTGCATATTAATAGCAAATTCTCAAAAGCGCCTGCCTGGCAAGCGCAAGGTCGTGAGTTCGGTTCCCGGTACCGGAGAAAAACCAAAAAAAAAAAAAAAAAAAAAA